AAAATAAGTTACTTTTGTTAAAAGATTATTATTTTTTAATGTTTTAAAAAAAACTTTAGCTAAATTTTTGCCTGAATGAGAATCTTCAAAATGACAAAATTCAATAGTACATTATTGAAGTTTTTAATCTTCTAAAATCTAATATGCTGTTATTCCAATAAAAGATTTTTGGTTTTTAGAAGTCCAAGTATCAAGAATATATGAAATTTTGCCTAGTATTTCTTGTAATTTTTTTTGTAAATTAATTTGTTTATCATTATAAAGTTTAACAATTTTGTTAGAAATAGTATTTGTTGAAGGAATTTTTACTATATTATTAAGCCTTTTAATCATAGTTTGAAAAAAATTGTTTTCTACAACAATAAAAGATTGATTATCAGAAATAATCCAATTAATTAAATCATTATAACAATTTTCTTGTGTAAATATCTATTTAAATAATAATTTAATTTTTTTTAATAAATTTATAATTATAAATTTTTAAATTTTAATATCAAAAATATTTACCAATTTTTCTTTTTTAATAAATTTATCAATTATTCTTATAATTTTTTTAGTTGTAATTGTATTTTTATATTTTTTTTCAAAATGTTTTTTTAAAGTAGATATTGATTTATCTTCTGGTATTTTATATTTTTGGCTAAATTATTATTATTAATATTTTAATAAAAATTAAATATATTTTATAAAATTTTAAATATAAAATTAATAATTTATTTGCAATAATTACATTTATATTTTTTAATTTTTTTATCTGAAATAAAATGTTGATAAACAATAAACCTAAAATTTGGTTTATCATCTGTTTCTATATCATTTTCTTTATTTTCTTGACTAATATTAGTTTCATTTTCACTAATATTATCTTTATTAGTCAATTTTATCTTTTTCTTAATTAAAACTAATATTATCTAAAATATTATCATTAATAATTTTAAAAATATTATCATTAATAATTTTAAAAATATTATTTTTAATAATATAATTTTTATCTAAATAAATATTTTTTTCTTTAGATTCTATTTTCAATTTTAATAAATTAATAAATTTATTATAAATATAAATTAATTTTTATATATATATATTTTTTTTTTGGTATTAAGATAAGGCCTTGCTCATATCTTTATTAGTAATTTTAGTTATACTTATTAATATACTATATATTAAAGATATACTAAGATTATAAAATACAAATAAAAACTATATACAAGAATTAAAGCTCAGACAACTTTATCTGTGACCTAAATCAACTATAGTGGTTAAGGCTCACCTAGATTTGTAATATTTGAATATGATTATAAAATATGCTATAATTAATTCAGAGTGTCGACCATATATTGATTTTTCTAATAGCCTATCCAATTGGTAAGCAGGTATTAGAGTGTAAGTGTAATTGATCTGCTATTTCACATAGACATAAATATGTATAGTTTGTATATAATTTTTTGTGATGCCTAATTTGTTGTATTCATTGTAAGGTATTGTGATTGTTAAAGATTTGAAGAAATGTAATATTATTATTTTTTTTTAATTGAAAAAGTCAATACAATAAGATTTCTATATTTGGTTATAAATTTGATAATTAATATTAAGAAGTATTTGAATGATAGTTTGTGAGGCTATTTTAGTAGGTATATTGTAATTATAGATTGTTTCAAGTAGAGCTTTGGATATAAGGCCTTTAAAAGTAAGGTTCAGATAGAAAAAGTTTGCTTGAAATAGTATTTAGTCAAATGAGAGATGGTTTTGAATTTTATGAATAAGTTCATATAGCTGACTAGTAGATAAATTAAGATTTGCTTTAGATAGAATATATTAAACTAATAAGTTAATAATGTTTGTAATAAGAGAAGAGTTAGAGCATATTAGCCAATATGAGTGAGAGTCAGGAAAATTATATTAAAAGCAGTTTGAATTCATAAAAATAACTGAATAGATGTTGTGAAGAGAGAAATATGTTGGTAGTTTATTAAGTAGAGTTTTAACTTTAAAGGCTTTTAATTGATTAAGCTTGAAGCTAGTAAAATTTGATAAAGGTTTTTGGTTATAATTAAGATATAATCATGTAGATTTCTAGTCTATATAATAATTAATATAAGCCTATTCATTGTTTCTTTTTTGTAATGATCATATTGCTAATATATGAGCTTTGCAGATATTTTTAATAAAATGTCTAGTAGGAAGCTCAACAGGATTTTGTTCTCATTGTAAAATATAAAAAAGGTTATAAATATTTGTATATTAAAAGATTAGCAACAAAGAGAAATTGTATTGTTTTGCTAAAGAATCAGCTATATTATTAAAAGTATTGTCTGTGTAAGCCTGAACTTTGTAGAAGTTAATATTTAAGTTAAAGAATTTAATGAAATTAAGAAAAGTGTGCCATAGAGGCCATGTATTAAATTTAAAAAGTTTGTTAAAATTGTTAAGTAAAGAGTTTGTAGAACTTTGAGATAACTGATTGTGAATCAGTATAGATTTGAAGTATTGCATTGTGAGGTATAGTTAAGATTGCTAATAAGATAGAAAAGAGCCTTGCCTTATAAGCTAATAGCCAGTGGTAGATTTTAGCAGAAAATTTATAAAGCACTTGGTTGTTATTATTAACTTGAACCCATTCAATACCTATTGAGCTTTGTTTAGTTCCAATATCAGTTACTGATCTATCTATATAAAAAATGAATTCCTTATAAGATAAATTGTTTTAGAAATTTCTTCAAGTTAATTTAAACAGTTATTAGGTTTAAAGATTTTTGTAATAGTTGAATTTGAAATATTACTAGTAGGATAGTTATAAGGAATTCATAAAAGATGTTTAATTGCTGTTGAATAAATAAGATCCAGATAATTAGTATTGAATTTGAGTTTGGGAGTTTTTTTTTCTAGAAAACTAGTACAAATAGTTGTATAAATATTAATTGTACATATTTGGTTAATTCTGTTTAAGTTAAGGTGGCATTCTGTGCATAGTGTACAGTTCAATTTTGGAAGTAAATAGTAGTAATTGTGTTCTAAATCAATATTAGTATTGCAATGTGATATGAAAAACTGATTTGTGTTTGGAAAATATTTGCAAATTTTGCTAATAATGTTCTTATCATTATCATTATTGCAGGTAAGAGCCAAGATTTGAGTTTTTTCTTAATTGGTAAAGTGTTATATACAAAGACATTAACTTCAAGAGGTTGAAAGTGAGGAAGGATTAAGTGATATGTTCTATCAGATAAGATTGTGTCTTTCAGATAGATGAACCAAGAAGGTTGTCTTCCTTTTATTAGATGATGAAGTTTTAGTGAAAGATGGTGCCATTGGAATAGTGTACTGTTATCTGCAATATATAATTGTTCTAGATAGAGTATGTTGTTTTTGCAAAGTTGTTTTTTAAAAGTATAGTATTTGGAATGTTAACTAAGTATTAGTTCTAATAATTGGTAGCTATTATGAACAGTATTAGGTCACAAAACATTGGAGTTTGCTAAAATTGAAATGCCAAGATGCAGAAGTTGTATGATTTTAAAATTAAGTGTAAGTTTGTTGGATCTGTCAATAAGTGGTTGGCTATGCTGAAGAATATTAATAGCAGACCAGAGGTTGTTTTGAAATTGCTGTAATCTAATTTTAGTAGAAATGCCAAGAATCTTGAGTTGTTAATTCTTTGTTGAAAGCAAGATATATGATGTTGTTATTGGATGTTCCAAATATTATATACATTGTATATATAAGAGTTTAGCATAATGCTGTTAGAGCTAGTAAAAGAGAGTTTAGCTTTATGTTTAATTATAGTAAGATATTTGGATAAGAGTTTATCACAGATAGAATGTTTAAGAATGATGTTGTATAGTCTGTATTTAATAGTAGGAATAATTGCAGTATTAGTAATATATATGGCTTGTTTGTCTATGATTTTTTTGGTGCCTGTAATGTTAATAAGTTGGATTGCTTCATTATAGATTAGTTTGCTTTGTTTAGTATATAAATTATTAAGAATGAACCAACATCCTAAAAATTTGAATAGTTGGTTGGCAGGAATTAGTAAAGTAATAAGTTAAAAAAGTAAATAGGAATTGTCAATAGTGTGTTTGAGATGAGAATTGATTTAGTTGAGTTAATTTGAATATCAGCCATATGGTAGAAAGAGGTAGCTATAGCAATAATTAATTGTAATTCTTCTTTGGATTTGGCTATCCAAAGTGTAACATCCATATATGCTAGTATGAATACAAAGGTTTGAAGTTGTTAAAACTTTGATCGAAACAGACTAGTATTCTACCTTGCTGCCAAAGTGTATTCTAAAAAGTCTGAAGCTATTTTAGTTATGAGAGAATTATAGTAAATTCTTTAAAATAGTAGAGTAATAGTTTTTTCTTGGTCAATGCCATTTTTGACATTGTAGGAATTAGTAAGGCCTAGATTTGTAATAACCTAATTGTATTAATTAGTAACCAAGTTAGTAAGAATGTTAATAAGATGAGATGGCATTTGTAAGTGTATTAAAGATTTGGTAAAGAGTATAAGATTTACAGAGTCATAGGCTTTACTCATATCCTAAGATAAAAGCCAAAGTTGTTTTGAGTTACAAGAAGCTTTTTCAATAACATTGTTAAGTATATATATAGAGATAGCTGTGCTGTTAACAGGTAAAGCTATGTAGTTAAAAGGTAATAGGATTTTATGATGAATAAAGATGTAATTAAGCTAATTAGTAAGAAGTTTTGTATAAAGTTTTTTGACATATTCAAGTAGACTAATAGGTTTGGTGTTGTCATAAAGATAGATTTTTTAGAAATAAGAAAAATTCTTTTTTCTTTTCATTAATTTAGAATTTGAGCAGATATAAGACAGTAGTTAAAAAAAGCAGTAATTGTATCAAGAAATATTATTCTAGCATGTTTGAGCATCTTATAGCTGATGCCTAATAGTCTATGTGCTTTGTTGTTAGAAAGTTGATTAATAACTTCAAGAACTTCTATAAAAGAGAATTCCTCGAATATTAGTTAATATTATATAGAATCGATATTAGGTTTAGGTTGATATTCTTATTGCCACATTGTGTTAAATAATTGTGATTGGATTATTTGAGAGGCTGTTCAGTCATCAAAATGTTGTTAAATATGCTGTTTGATAAGTAATGATTTAGTGATAACATTGTTAGATTCTTTAATATTGTTAAACTTAACAGAATCTTTGTGTTGATTAAGTATACTGTTAATCATTGATGTTGAACTATTTTGAAGTTTAGTGCACCTTTTAGCTATGTTGTTATTAATTTGTTTTCTTATATTTTTAATATTTTCTAAGTTTCTAGCATAGTAGAATGTTTTCTATTCAGTATTAGTTACAGATATTCAGTTAAATAAAAGGTTAAGGTCTTGAGGCAGTTCTGATATATTGAGATGATGAAAAGAGTTGAGTTGGTGAATATCTAAATTGTAAAGTACAGACACTAAATTGTGATTCCAAATTAAAGCTTTGACTTGTCTAATAATATTGCCTAGTTTTTTAAGTTCTAAGTATAATTTTAATAACTTGAAAGAAAAGATGTATTGGAAGTTACGAACAGTAAATTTTTTATTTAGAATATGTTAAAAAGCAGCTGAGATAATACTAGTTTGAATTTTGTGCCAAGAGGCTTCAAGTAATTCTGTAGTATTAGTTGTAGAAGGGGAATTGGTGTTTTTAAAATTGGATATAACTTGGTTAGAGAAGTTTTACCAAAAGTCTTGGCTCATTTGTTTATAGACAAATATTCTACACTTAGTTTTAGTTGCTGATCATTGTTTACCAGTAATCATATAAGAAAATTCTTAGGATGATATAAGTATATTATGACTACTAAGTGTACTTTGGTTGGCATCATTTGTACAATAGGAAGTTTAATATCAGATAATAGAGTAGTTGGCTCAGATATAAT